CTTTGTTTTTTCGTTTTGCATTTACAACAGGAGGCTATGACTGAAGAAGAATTAGCCATCAAAGCTTACCTATCCCATGGGAAGCCACTGAGTCCATCCATTTTGGATACAATTATTTTACCCTACTTTAAAGAAGAGCCATACAGGTAAATATTACTAGACACTCTTCATCTTTGCATGCATGTTTAAAACAATCTTTAAAAGTGTTTCACCCAAGACATTTCTCATAAAATTACAAGATTTGCATTGTGTTACATTTATTCTGGCATCTTTTCCTTCAAACTTTAAATATAAGATGAAAAAATATTTTAAAAAATTTCACTATTTAAAAGTATAATGGAGGATGTTCTTTTTCCGGGTGGATCATCTAAATAATTTGACCTCCTAATTGTCAGTCATTCTGGTCATATGTTTACGTAAGGCCCTCCTTTGGGCTCGTCCACAATTTTACTTACCAGCGGTGAGTCTGACATGGTGGAAAAATTGCAAATGTTCTTTTAGAAAGTAAGCTTGTATGAATGATACCAACAGCAACTTTTAAACAAAGTGTGCACGAGGAGAAATGGGCTTGTGCACGCTCTCGCAGGCGTTTAATAGACGTCCCCTCTCGGGAGTGGGTACAGGGTTGTGCATGTGCATTTTTTTTTTAAGTGCAGGGGCGGGTCTTTTCAAAAATTCGCCAAAATTCTCCACTAAACCTTTAATAAAACAGTTAGACCATCATCAGAAGCTCGTTTTTTATTTTATTTATTTATTTACTATTAATGTAGCCCTCCTGCCATCTGTTGGTAAAGCAGGGAATTTGGGTGGCCCTTGAAAATAAAAATGCGTTTTGTAGATAGTTGAAGGCAGTAGCTTCATATACAGTATTACTGAGAAGGTGGTTTATCAACTAAATTTCTCTATCAATTCAGTCCATTTAACAACACTTTAAAGTTAATCTGCAGCAGTGCTTCAGTAAACATGAATGCACAGGTTAGTTATTAAAGACACAAGGATGCCATAGCTAAATGTTCTTGGCAGAACATGCCAATTTAATTACCTTCTATATATAGCATAGCCTGCTGGCTTCCCTCTGCAGATAATGGAAACATTCATTGCAAAAAGGATTTGAAATCATGGCTGTGGTTATTTGATGTGTTAAAGTCTCACACTTAGGAGGTAAAAACATGTTTTATCACTGGTCTTATAGTTTTTTTTTTTTTTTTCCTATTTTACTGAAATGTCCCTTTAATGGTGTTTTTTACTCTCCTGTGCAATTCTTGCAAAAATAATTATTGTGACATTGTTGAGTATTAATGATTTTGCTGAAGTATCGCATATTTAATATTTTGGATCTCATTATGTGGAACAATTTTTATCTCTTACTTTTTTGCCAGACATAAAGAAACATCATCTCTTCCTTGCTTGTTCCACAAGCTTTAACTGAGGCGATACACCTATTTGTTTTCATTTGTTTTGGGCTTTTTATTTTTTTTATCTGTTGTAGAACTTTTTTTTTCATATGAAACACTTCAAATCTTGACTAGAATATGACTTATTTTCTAGGTCTACAGGGTTCATTTTGGAGGGCTTCCCCAGTGATCCTAAGCATGTGAAGTACATGATGGAGAGGCAGCTGTTCCCTGATGTTGTTGTTGTCCTGGAAGTTGAAGTTGAGGATGTTAGACAGCGTCTGCTGCCAGCATACATTAACAAGTGGCACAACCTCCGCATTAAGCAAGAAGAACAGTTAAAACTCCTACGCCATCTGCGCAGCATAAATCGAGTATGAGTCTGACCTTTATTGTTGCGTTGGCATATTTCTTTTCACCGTTTTTGGGGAGAAAATGTTTTTTAACAGTATTTAACTCTTTTTTTTTTAAACTGTTTTAATGTAGGAAGAGAAGATATCCAAGAGAAGGGCAGAACTTTTGCAAGAACATGGCCCTCAACAGTCCAGTTTTACTGTAAGTAAACTCTCCACAGCCTTGCTATCCCAGCTAATTTCTAACCAGTCTCTAAATTATATACATTTAAATACACTGATTATGAAACAGGTAAAAAAAGATCATGAAGAGGACAAAGATTTGTCTGACATAGGAGATGAGATAGAAGCTATACTGAAGGTGGAATTCCCTGAGGAAGACGATATTGTGGGAGTCAAAAATGAAGAGACGGAAAACGATGCGAATGAAAGGATCAAGAAGGAACTAAAAGACCGTTTTGAAAAAGATGTGGCCAACCTTGCAACTGTGACAGTATGAATACAGAAATCCTTTTAAGATTAACAAGCTGGATGCTAATAGCAGAACTGGAGAGTGTATGATGGCTGAACAGTTCCTCTATGCTTCTTTCTTGTTTAGAACAAGATTCTAACATTCTTGTGTTTTTGTTTTTGTCTTCTGAGCTGATTTCTTTTGTTCTATTATCAGGAACTCCTCAGTGAAAATGAAATATCCAAACTTCCTTTCAATGCATCTCAAAAGCTGAGGATCATCCAGTATGATCTTTTCCAGAAAATCAACCCCCTGCTGGTGAACAGGGAGTCACTTTTCCAAACAAGCCAGCCCATCTCATACAAACTTGCACAGAAGCTGCTGATCTCCTCCTATAAGCTTCACAGTGCCTTTGGCTGTTGGGACCCTGTCCAGGTTGGCATGATTAAGGGATTTAGGAACAGAGTGTATATTTAGTTTTATTTTGCGAACCAAAACTGACTGATTCTTGTAACCTTTGTTTTTGCTCATGAAATCCAGCAATACAAAGAGAAGGACATGATTCAGCTGGTGCAGTGGCCTCTGAGGAATACATATGCCCTGCTCTTTAATCAATATATCTACTTTTTTGGATCCAAGGAAAACCGCAACCTGTTTATGCTTAATCCTTTGAAATACCTTCGACAGCCAAAGCCTACTCCCAGCATACCTATAAAAATAGCTGTGGCTGGACCTCCTAAATCTGGAAAAACCACTGGTAGGTCTCAAGGCAGCTAAAAACGATCTCCAGGACAGCTTTAACTGATTTTACCTTCCTGTCAATCGTTTATGTCTTTAGTGGCACAAATGTTTGCTGAAAAATATGGTTTGGCTCGGCTTTCTATTGGGGAGGCCATGCGAATGGTATTAAACCACAGAGAGCACAGCCATTTGGCGCTACAGATGAGAAGGTATCTAAACCAGGGCCTTGTTTTGCCTGATGAACTGGCTATTCAGTGTCTGGAAGTGATGCTCCTTCGCTCAGTGTGCAGCATTCAAGGGTAAGATGTTTGGTCATTTAAAATTGTACAATAATAGCTCCACTTACAGTATTGCACACTGCCGTGACAGTTGCAAGTCCTTTGTGGTTTTCTCTACCAATTTTGTACTGAAATTTTGCCCATTCTTCTTTGCATAAACTCTCAGACTCAGTCCGATTGGATTACAAAGAATGATAATAACTTATCAAAGAATGCATTTAGCTCTATTCATCTGCCAACAATACTGGCTAGTTTCTGTAATTATTTGAATCCTGGGTTTCCTTTATCAAATTCTTACTGCTACTGTTCCATTAAGGATACATTATAAATATGGAAGGCACAACTTTTGTTTTCCTGTCTACAAATGTTCCAGTATTAGATGTGGATTTCTGCGGGTCCTACAGAGTTATCATGAGCCTCCTCTCTGCTTCTCTAATGAAAGCTCTCCCTGACTAACATGTCACTTCAAGTAGAATGCTGTGCATCTGTATTTCTGCAGTCAGTGCATGCTTTTTCTATTTTCAAATGATGTAATGAATGTTGCTAATGTGAAATGCTAAAAATGTTAAAGCAGTTTATTTTTCTCAACTGACCTTAAGCCAAACAGAGAACACCTGTATTTAAACCGACTCTTGATTGAGCACAGACTTTAACTAAAGAAGCAACCTCTGTAGGTCGCTGGATCCTCTGGATAAAATTTTATATTACCACTCTGCCACTCTGTTTCTCATTTTTTTGAGAAAAAAAAAGGATAGAAAAACATGTAGAATTTTTCCTTTGATTCCACTGCTTTTTGCTGGTCTTCAACATAAAATCCAGATAAAGCAAATTGAAGTTTGTGATAGTAAAATGACAAAATCAGGAAAAAGGTTCAAGGTGTATACATTTTTTTGCAAGGTACTGTAAGACAAAAAGGTAATTTTTTTTCAGTAGGAAAAATGTCTGACTTCATTAATGTTTCAGGTATGTACTGGATGGCTTTCCAGCGACTCTTAAGCTGGCAAAACTCATGGAGTCTCGTAGTATCATCCCTATGATAGTATTTGAGCTTAATATTGATACAGTGGAGGTTCTTAGAAGAGGTTGTGTTGACAAGATAAACCCCAGCAGGTAAAAAAGCCTTCATTAATATGAGTAGTTTTGTCAAGACAAAATAACTGAAAAAATAACGAACCCTCTTCCTGCTTTATTTTACATGATCTTAGGCCTTACTTGAAGCTTGACAGCCCTACGATCTTACATAGTTGGGATTCTTCTTACAAGAAAGAGATCAGACACGTAAGGCAATTCTTCCAAGAGCAGCATCAGAACTGGTTTGTCATCGATGGCTTGAAAAACAAATGGTGGATCTGGAATAATATATTGAAGGAAGTTAACATCAGTATGAAATGCATGAATTCCTACCTGGACAGAGCACAAAGTGGTAAGAGTTAGAAAAACAAGAAGAAACTTACTAAAACTGAAAAATGTTGCTGATTTTTTTCATTGTTTACAAACCTTTTAATGGCATGCATTGTTTAACAGGGAAAGCTGCCTGCATCAGCAGGTTGTGCATCACACCCAAAGAGCTTAATTGCCGCCTAGGAGAGTTTGGCCATTACTGTCCCGTTTGTCTCGCTGTACTCCACCACTTGGTGGATTGCTCAGAAACCGCAGCCTTGACTCATGCTGCTGAGTACAAAAGGAAGTATTATCGAATATGTGGTGAAAGCCATCTACAGGTTAGTGTAATATTATCAATTACGTACCCTTGGTAACAGTCTTGTTTACATATATTTTGTTAACAAATTGCATGAATGATTATTCCAGAATCGTTGCATTATGTTCTCTGTTAATAACAACAGGCATTCCTGTCAACTCCCGATGAGTTTCTGGCGCCTTGTTGTCCACATGACCTCCCACAGCCTTACTTACTGCCAAGAAAGCTGACAGAGTTCCAGGTGAAAAACAAATTCCCTCAGCAGGCTGAAATGAAGGGTTTCTGCCCTGTCACTTATATTGATGGAAAGCAAAGGTACACACTTCTTTTGAAAATTATAATATGCAACACATGCAACGCTTTGACAAATGTTTAGAATGTTAAAAAAATGTATTGCAGGTATGAAGCATTAGTTCAAGGAAAATTGGAATATGCAGTGGAATACAGGGGAAGACTCTACATTTTTGAGACAAAACAGAAACAGGACAAGTTTCTGAGGTACAGTTGTAAAAAATATATATATATATTTTTTTTATGTAAATTTTTTCTTTGTTTACTTTTTCCATCCTTTTCCAGATCATCTAACTTTTTTTAAATGGGACAAAATAATTTGGTTAAATAAAAGGCTGCTCTCAGCCAAATTGTTTAGTAAGAAAAATACCTCTCTAAACCAGCTAGCCTTTTTTTTTTTAATAAAGTCCTAATTGTCCCTCATAGAGTTTTTAAAATGTAATTGAACATGAGTAACCACATCCAACCTTGATAAATGTCAGCCTTTTAGAATCCAGAATCCACTACAACTAAACCTCTGGCAACATAAAGTAGGTTAAAATATCATGCCCAAGCTGTGATGAAACAAAAAACAGATAAAAACAAAGTTATTGACATTTTTCAGTCTGAAAAAGCTCACAAACATCTTCTAATGTCTTGGGATTCCAGTCAAAAGAAAATATCCACAAATGCAAAGACCTAAATTAGTGATTAACCTTGCAAGGAGTGTCCAAGATTTTTCCAATAGCAACCCAACAACACATCCAGGATAAAATCCAGACCCCTGAAGGCCTGTCATGTCTTAGTTAAGGTCAGTATTTATTTTAGGGCTGAAACAACCAACTGGATTAAGCAATTATTGACAAAATCATCAGCTAATTTAGCAGTCGATTAATTTCTAACTTCAATATTGAGACTAAAACATGCATTTAGTTTAAAGAGCTACCCACTCACATCAGTTATTATACCCAAATTGTAAAAAATATTTTTTTTCTACATTCAAGATCAAAAACCTTTTTTCCGTTCATATGTTCTAGCCAGAAGTTGTCTTTGTTTAAACTCTGCCTAAAACTTCTTCAAGGAACCTTTTTCCATCAAATTAAGGATCGATGAGCAAAATAGTCGTTAGTTGCAGCCCTAGTTTATTGGACTAGGATAAGAAAGAGACTGTGGAAGATCAAAACAACTGCTGACTGAAAAAAACAACCACTGTGAAAAGATTTCACCTTTGGAGCATTTTTTCTGTTTATTAAAAAAACATAAAATGCTCCTTATAGATAAATGCACTCAATTGCATCGAACATAAAACAAAAACGGTCCTTATGTCCTGCAGCAAATGTGTGACCTTTAACTTAAGCAAACTATATACGCATTAATCTAAAGCATTCCAGCAACCCCAAAACAAAAGGATTTGAAGTTTAATAGTCAAAGTCTGGATTTAGTAAATCAGATTGAGAAGCTGTGAAATTACCCTAAACAGGGTGTCTATGCTTGATAACCCTCCAATGAGGCAAAATTAAAATAAGTCCTAAAGTCGACTTAAAGTAAGAGTGGAAAAAAAAGATGAATAAATTAAATTTAAAAACAGGCTTATAAGGTTGTGTAGTTAAGCACTATATTGGATTATAAATAATAATTGTTTTAGGATTAAGATTATTAGGTTTAGGGGTATTAATTTTGTTTCCAGGTTGATTTATAACTTTTTTGCCCGTTTTGTCAAATTAAATAATCATTCAAAACTTGTTGATTGTGTGTACTCAGGCCATCTTTGTTCTGAAAATGTATGACATGATCTGTAACAATTATGAAAGACGAAGGGGCAAAAAACAGAATGAAATCTGCAATGGGGCAGTGTGCCTTTAGATCACTATATTTCAGTCTTGCAAAACAAAAACTATTTTTTCCTTGGACCATGTCAAGGATGCCTGAAACCTACTGGGACCAAAAGCTGCCCTGTAAGGTTCCTCCTCTCTGTGAGCCTGTTTCCCTCACCTCTCTTCCAACACTGGGCTACCTGGAACAGGTTAGATGTCTTATTAAATAAAAATTTTCTATGTCATGAATTTTATGCTCTATCTGCTGCTCAGAATTATCTTTAAATTGAACTTTTTTTTTTGTCTCTAGGGGGCAGGAGTCCCAGTGATTAAAGCCATGACAGCTGTTGGGTCTCTCAAACCAAAGTTTCCTTTTGTCAGTATACAAAGGTCAGCTCTTCTTTATGTTGCATTCTATCTGAAAGGTGAGCAGAATGTCATAAGATAAATTACAGGAAAAGGGCCAGCTGTTATGATGACAACGATTAAAGTGTTGTGTTGTTGTATTTTACAAGCTTTCAACCCAAATGGCACAAATTCTACCAGACAGAAGTACAAGAAGAAGCTTGCATCATTTGAGGAGAACAGTGAGCTCATTCCGTACCTGAGTTTGGTGATGAGAGGGGGCTACAAACCCCCCAGTGAACGTCCCGTGGATTTTGATTTCAAACTGAACAGGTTTCTGGCACTAAAAGTCCTGGGATCTAATGGTGGTCTTTAGCTACACATTTTCTGCTCCTTTCAGTAGAGCAA